GTGGGGAGCTATTTCAGCAAAATTGTCCCCGAAAAGGAAAACCTCGATAGGAAATTGGTAGGTCAGACTGCTGACCGGCAGCAGTGTCTGCTTGTTTATTGCCCTTATGTCGACATGACCAGGGACCCCAAAAAAAAAACAATATTTTATGTTTGGTAGGTATGGCGAGCCAAAATTGGTACGGAGAACTAGGGGATGAGAGTATCAAATTTCGTTACCCTGTAGAGCACTAAGGGAGTCTGAGACTACTACAAATGATGACACAGGCATAGATGCGATTACGAATAAGTGCTGCAAAAATGGCATACAGTTCAGCAGTAAAAATGTACTGAAGTAGTAAATGCCCCCGGGCACGACGCTGTCGGAACATGCTGCGAATCCGACGCCGTCTGAAGACTTAGAGCCATCTGTTGTACACAGCGGTGGCATGAGAATGGGAGTGGAAGTGATCAAGAAAAAGAGAGCAGGAAGCCACCGTAGGCAGTTGAGCTTTCGAGCAAGGGAGTGAGAAAGAACAGACCCGAACAGCTGGAAATTCCCAGGGGGGTAGGGAAAAGTGAGATGCTACATGAACATATAAAGGTGGTAACTGAAGGGAAGACAAGAGTGAATGTAGGCGAAGAGAAAAGGGACGGAGCAAACAGGGGCGGCGAACGAATAAAGAATGTCTACTAATATCGGTGACCCTTCTATAAATGGAAGGATTGTGTAGATCGTGAGAGCTTACATAGTAGCGAAGGCAATGGGCATCATGGCGCTCAGACAAGGATGGAACATTCACTTCTGTATAGAGGCTCTCAACAGGGGAAGAGCGAAAAGCACCAAGGCACAAACGTAATCCTTGGTGATGGATAGAGTTAAGGCTAGAGAGAGTAGCAGGAGAGGCCGCGGAATAAATCTGGTCACCATAATCGAGTTTCGATAAAACGAGGGCTGAATGTAGGCGAAGCAGAGTTCGACGATCAGCTCCCCAGGAAAGATGAGCAAGGGTTTTAAGAAGGTTTAGCCGGCTGTGACAAGTTGCCTTCAGAGAGGTTATGTGAAGTTTCCAGGATAACCGACGGTCAAAAAGAAGGCCTAGAAACCTGTCTGTATCACGTTCGGGGATACGGGAGCCATAGAGATACAAAGGATGATCGGAGATAACAGAGCGTCTAGTGAAAGTAATTTGGCGAGTTTTGGTACTTGAAAAATTTTAAAACCCATGCGTGGTGGCCCAAGTGGAAACACGGTCGACCGCATGCTGGAGAGAAACTGCAATAAGATGACAGTCAGCGCCTGCACAAGCAATAGCAAAGTCATCAACATAGAGTGATGACCAAATATTGGGTGGAAGAACAGAGGCCAAATCATTTATAGCAAGGAGAAAAAGTGTTGTGCTTAGAACACATCCCTGAGGGACACTTCAGCTTGGGCGAAGTCCAGGGAAAGAACATTATTGACTCGAACACGGAAATGTCTGTCAGTTAAAAAGTTCTTAAGGAAGGATGGTAGATTGCCTCGGAGGCCTAAGGAATGGGCCTGGGCCAAAATATTATACCTCCAAGTTGTGTCATATGCCTTCTCAAGGTCAAAAAATATGGCAATAACTGAGTGATTATTCGCAAAGGCATTACGAACATACGTATCCAAGCGTAGTAAGGGGTCTATGGTAGAACAACCTTACGAAAGCCATATTGACTAGCGGAGAGACTGTTTTTGTGTCTCTAAATACCACATTAAACGTCGATTTACGAGATGTTCCATCACTTTGCAAACTGCACTAGTAAGAGCGATGGGGCGATAGTGGGAGGCATCATGTCCCGTAGTGCCTGGTTTGCAGAAAGGGAGAACAATGGCAGATTTCCACAGCTGGGGAAGAACTCCTTGTGCCCAAATAAGATTGAAGAGGTGTAAGAGGACTACAAGGGCTGACCGATGTAAATGTTGTAACATACGAATATGAATGTCGTCAGGCCCAGCTGCCGATGATCGGCAAGCTGAGAGCGTTGCCTCCAGTTCTTGAAGTGTAAAAGGCACATTATACTGTTCTTCTCTGAGAGAAGAAAAGTCCAAGGGTACTAACTCTCTGGCAGACTTTGAGGAAAGAAACGAGGGGCATAGATGGAGCCCTCGGGAAATACGGACCAGATGTGTGCCAAGTTCAATGGCAACGTCGAGAGGGTTTGCTACATCAACACCAGCGACCCGTAGAACAGGAGCCTCGGTGGGAGACGGCCGACTTGTTAAAAAAAAAAAAAAAAAAATTAATATTATACTCTACCGTATCTTGATTCATCACATAATACTGGAGCAGTACTGTCATTTTTTACCACTTCCATCTCTTGAAAGCACAGTTCTAACAACTGTGAACCCTATCTTCCACTGAAGTACAAAGTACTGTAGAAACATTTATCTGTGATTCTGAGTTAATGGCTCTAGAAGCCCCATATTTTCTTTTTCTCTGCATCATAATTGGCCCAATTTAAATCAGAAAATATTTTGCTTGAACTTCTGATGTAATTTGCACAATAAATTAATACAAAAAGACTCACATTCACAGATCTTGTCTCCCATTCTAATAGGAGCTTGGCAAGCAAAACTACTCGTAGATATAACAAAAGGTTGGAAGTACACATGAAAGACATAATCATTGTGGCAAACAGAATACTGCCTGCAATTTTTTGAAAAAAAAAAAAAAAAAAAGTATGAAAGAATATCAAAATATTATTAGAGAATAAAATGTCTGTATGAAGATGAAACTGAATGAAGAAATAACTAAAATTTAGAAAATATAAAACAAATGTGTCTAGTGTTTTAAATAAACTACACATTATTTGCTAATATTTGACTATTGGAAGTAACAGTGCTGACACCTACTGAAAGTAGTATAAGAATAAGATTAAAATTATCAACACATGCTGTTTTATTTGGCAAAGCAGTAGTACTCTTTATTGCTGATGCAGTCTTGGATTGTTGTAATATAAATAAACTACCCAATGCAGGATTCTGATTTGCCTATGTATGAATAAATTTAGAAGAAAGCATTAGTTTGTGATTTTAGTACACATTACTGAATAATTTAGAATAAATTAAAATATTTTTATTTATATATATATATATAGGAGCCAAATGTACAGTACAATTAAATTATTACAGTCACTATAGAAACCAATTGTAACTTTCAGTTAAGTGATTTGGTAACAGGTGCTCCTTGTAATATAGTACGTAAACTCAAATGAATAATGGCCAAATATAAACTCAAATAACTAGTGAAAAGAACAATAACTGTTATGTCTGTCAGTCACTGTAATAAATTGTTTATGAAGCATGTATAAAAATTAACAGCATTATCACAATATCTTAAATGAAAACTGGGATATATAAAAGGCCTGGCAGTTCAGCATTCCTTCTTTTTTCAGTATGAGAATAATTTCCATCATAGTGATAGAAATATATATATATAGGTTGAAGGGTTTTAGAGGCCTGTAATATATTCCAGAATTTTATGCTACATTCACTACAAATATTAAGGTACTAAGCAAATTAAGACAATCATCTAATGCTTTACATTTTGTACAAACATTACTATGAAGGATAATTCATCTGGCTATATAAATGGAACGTTGCTTACTTATGCCATTTAACTGGACTGTTTCAAAAGCAGGAATATCACTACCTAACAGGCATTCTAAGTTTGCCTTTATGGCTCATGTATCATAACAGGCCAGGCAAACTTACAAACTCTGAATGAGTAGGAGAGAGGCAGATATATACAAAACAGTGTTCAACAACAGCACTACAACATAAAGGACTTTCACAGGCACACTACGGAACGATCTTCATGTGGGAGTTTGGTGCAACATTACAGTCAGCTGAAATTAGTCATAACTAAGGACACTAGAAAGTTTCTGATGTCAAGTACTCTACAACAGAATAATCCTTCAGTGTTTGGGACCTGAGTTTCCAAAAATAAGCTCCCAGACATGACTGCATTCCTGTAGTCTATAACCCAAAGTTCTGGCACAAAACAATTCGAAACCTTGTTTTATACTGCCCAACCATAATCCCACATATTGTACAATATACACACTACTGTGTCTGTAATTTTCATACACAGACAATGTTAGCATAATGAGAAATATATATACATTGTGAATATGTATTTCGGGAATGTTTAAAGCAAACATACATGTCTACTACATGACAAGTTAGTTTTCAATTTTGTCTAATGCATTTTTTGTGGAAATCTAGTTTGAATAATGAGAACATAACCAAAAATCATTAACTATTTCCTTTCGCATACTGTATCTATAGCATCAGTAAATATACACAACAGCACTTCATATACTGAATGTGATTTTTGACTCAACAGATCCACAGTATTGTTCGCAAGCACATTTTCAATGCACCGTTTCATAAATACATGATATAACTTGACATATTTCCAAAGCACTTTGCTTCACACAATAAGCAGTGTTTCAGTCTATAAATGTAGTTACCACAAATCCATAAAATGAGAACTGCTACAAGGACAACACACTTGTAGGATTTTAAAACGTTAATTAATATTAGACAAAGTGTGTTAAGTTTTGTAAAAAAAAATTTTTTTTACCTCTGATAACCATCACAATATTTATAGTTTTCTTGGGTTTACACTCAATCACAACTGAGAGCAAATACAGTTCTCTCTTCTGCTGCACCACTGCTGTGCTGTACTCAGTGCTGCGAGCCATTTAATGGGAATCTTCTTCCACTTGACTCTTCTTTATAAAAAGTTTTACATAGTAGTGCTGAGTTTTTGGTTTCTTGAGAATTTTCCATGAGAATTTAAGGGATATGTAACATGTATATTGGTTTCAAAGTGTAAAATTGAATGTGAGCATAAGGTTATTAGAAATGGTTACAGTAGAAAATTTAATGAATTGTGTACAGGTAACTATGTTATCAAAGATAATCATTTTAAATGGAATATTTAAATAAAAATAATGACAATACTATCGAGTAAGAATTGCAAAAAATAAAAAACGTCTTAAGTATAGTGCTGGAAATAGTTTGAACTTGCTGAAAACTGCTCATGAATATTACAAGGAAAGTTAGGACCATTAAGTGTCACTGAAAATCATTCTCTGGGAGAAAGAATGGAAGAGTGCTAAAGCTGCAATGAAGAACCAACTTGTCAGTTGTACTCAAAGGCCACAAATGCTTAAAGCCTTGTATAAATTGACAAAATCATGATGTGTCTGGATCCTCCAAAATGGAAAATCAAGCTGTAAAAAGAAAAAATTCTTAATTAGAAAATTTTCTTGCAATGAAATGCGTATAGAACGAAAGACACAGGTAAATCATAAAGATTACTATATCATATTAATTTATAGGTGTGGATAATAAATGTCACTGGAATACCCCTAGAACTTAATATTCAAGCCTCATTACTTTAAGTGGGTTATGTTTACAGAAATTATGAATGCAATGTGGATCCTCTCATGTAGCAAGGCAGGTGAATAAGACAGGCACCTGCAGTGGCAAATACTATAGTTTAAGAAGTTCTATTGTTTGGTCTGTTCTCTTCCTGAGCATAATTATAAGGTATACATTATACATGGGTTAATACTAAAAGTCAAATAAACCATAAAAACTCCAAATTTACCTTTAAGTGCACATAGTAATTGCTCTTACATTGATAAAAATTCAAACACTTATACTAGACAGAATGGAAGATTTTCCTAAAAATTATCAAGGTTTAAGGGTTTTTGGTATAAATGTATATGCCTACGTTGAACAGACAACAGATTTGGGGAAGGTGGTAAAGTCAACAAATTTATCAAGTACTGGTTAAAATTTCTTGCAGCTAATTCTAACTAACTGTGATGCGATGTGATTAACTGTAATTGTCTGGTCATATTTTGTGGGGTGCATTTCAAACAAATACATATTAAACTTTAATGTCGTACCAAACTAAATGCTGCCAAGTATTACTGAATAGTTAAGACCTCTGGTCTAGGTTATGGTACAGCACAGTGCTGCATGCTAATGCTCACTGTGCTAGTGTCTTGGAGCAGCTGACTTGTAAATATTAAGCATATGTGTCAGTGAACATAATAGACATTCCACCTCAAAATTTAAGGTTAATTATGTCATCCATACCAAGCTTGATGGTAATTATCTAAGGCTTTTAAAAGTTTTTTTTTTTTTTTTTTTTTGTTTTTTTTATTATCACACTGGCCGATTCCCACCAAGGCAGGGTGGCCCGAAAAAGAAAAACTTTCACCATCATTCACTCCATCACTGTCTTGCCAGAAGGGTGCTTTACACTACAGTTTTTAAACTGCAACATTAACACCCCTCCTTCAGAGTGCAGGCAATGTACTTCCCAGATTTTCTGATATAAATCTGTAACTTAAAAAATTTCCAGGAGCACAAATTCCTTTCTGTTCAGTATCAATGTTAACTCAGAGTACAGCCTCTCCTCATTTAGCAACGGAGTTCTGTTCTCTAAGACCACGTCGGTAAATGAATTCATTGCTAAGTAAGGAGCATACTATAATGGTAGTTTGTGTCAACAATCTTTGATATTGTTTTAATGTCACCTTTGTACCATTTATAAAATTTCTGGTATATTTTTAAATGTTTATACAGTAGTGTACTGTATACTGTAATAAACAGAATAGAGGTTATCAGTTCTAACATACATTAGGTATTCATACTGGTCAGAGAGCCTGTCGTAAGTCCAAGTACACCATGAGTACACCACTATGAGAGGAGAGGCTGTACTCTAAAAGCTATTCCAACTTATTGTAATGTACTGTCAGCAAAGACAGTTCATTTAATAATAAGAGAGTCCTCAGTGGCTTTTTCCACTCACAGGAATGTTAGTGATTTATTGAAAAGGCTAGCATACTCTAAAAATGCACACAGTGATTACAGTATCACATTTTTCCTATTCAGTAATATTGTATGTAAGCACCAGTCAGAACTGCCATTTTTGTATGTACACTGCATTAATATAATTTAATAATCTGTTCTTTAATTACTAACTAGAATTCAGCAGTGCCACCTGAAACATCCAATTTGCACATATAATACTCCTAATGTAAAACGAAAGCCTGTAATTGTTTTACATGATGGTAGGATTGCTGGTGTCCTTTTTTCTGTCTCATAAACATGCAAGATTTCAGGTACATCTTGCTACTTCTACATACACTTAGGTCACACTACACATACATGTACAAGCATATACACCTACCATCCGACTTACGACCGAGTTCGGTTCCGAGAAACCGGTCGTAAGTCGAAATGGTCGCAAGTCAAACTTTACTACTGAATATCAACAAAACATTTTTGTAATGACTTTATTTTATTGTTTTATTTTGGTATTTCATGTTTTACTTTACGTTTTATGTTATTAGTACTGTATTTTATACTGTAAGGTTTAGGATAAACACTGTGTACAACACAAATAGTTGTTTATTTCCCAGAAATTTGGCATAAAAAACACGGTCATAAGTCAAGTGGTCGTAAGTCGAGTGGTCGTAAGTCGAGCAGGCCGTAAGTCGGATGGTAGGTGTATATACACACCCCTCTGGGTTTTCTTCTATTTTCTTTCTAGCTCTTGTTCATTTCCTCTTATCTCCATGGGGAAGTGGAACAGAATTCTTCCTCTGTAAGCCATGCGTGTTGTAAGAGGCGACTAAAATGCCGGGAGCAAGGGGCTAGTAACCTCTTCTCCCTTATAAATTACTAAATTTAAAGAAAGAAACTTTCGTTTTTCTTTTTGGGCCACCTCGCCTCGGTGGGACACAGCCGATGTGTTGAAAGAAGAAGAAAGAAGAATACTCCTAATGGGTTTAGCGCTTCTTTTTTATTACAATAATGTACATATAATACAGTACTGTATTTTGCTATAGTTGAACCCCCAAATTTGTGCATCATTTTTCTAGATACCCGTGCAAATTCAGAATTCATGAATACTGTACCACTATAATCTATCCACAGAATAAGCTTTGTTTCATGATAAATAATATCCAGGAAGAAGAGAGACTTGGGCTTATGAAATCCTAGTACAGTACATTTTAAACAAAATTCTAGATCTTCAATTAAAGGGTTGTTCACCAAGCTCAAGAAACTTGTTACCACAAAGCAACTCAACTGCAGAGGCTCTTCAGTAAAACATCTGAATAATCATAACACAAATTAGGAAGTTCATGAATTTGAAGATTTGGATATACAGGCTTTATTATATCTATAGAAAAACAATACCACATACAGTAGGCATCATAAATATGCACATGCATAAGTAAGCTTTCATCGCTGAAAAGCACAAGGGCAACATTTGTATGGAAGATGGTGTCCCTTGTAATACTGCCAAAGACAAAGAATTAGCTAAATGACTGTGATTTTTCTATATTTTAATGACTAGCCTGGGAAACTCAAGGGAAGTAAATCTTGATAAAAAATAATACATTAGGAAACATATTAAATGTAAGCTTCATGGCATGGACATATCTTCTAACCCCAAAATCTCAAGGGCTGGTAAGCAGGTGTGGGAGGATACTGACTCTTCTATCCACCACATGTTCATTATATCTGTGCTTAGTAGAAACTTGAGGAAAAGTAATCCTACACAATACTACTACAGTGGACCCCTGACATTCGATGGCATCAACATTCGATAAATCCGACATTCGATGCATTTTAACGCAAAAATTTTGCCTCGACACTCGATGGAAAACCCGACATTCGATACGATTCGTACGAGACGTGTCCACGTGTGGCCTGAACTGCCCCGTGTGTGCCAGTGTTTACAAGCCAGCCAGTGTGCGCGCATCTAAGAATACATTCGGTACATTCCATATTATCACTGTTTTTGGGGCTTGTTTCTGCAAAATAAGTCACTATGGGCCCCAAGAAAGCTTCTAGTGCCAACCCGGTGGTAAAAATGGTGAGAATTAGTATGGAAATTAAGAAAGATTTTGAAGGGTTTGGGGCTAACCTTGAGAAGCCTATGCCAGTTGTAGACTCCATTGTGCCTACTTCAAAAATTAAGGAAATGTGTGCAAAGTGGGTTGAACTGCAAACCTTCATGGATGAAAATCACCCTAACACAGCTATTGCAAGCCGTGCTGGTGAGTATTACAATGACAATGTTATGGCCCATTTTAGACAAATCTTAAAGGAACGGAAACAGAGGTCCAGTGACTCTCAAGCTGGTCCTAGTGGCATTAAAAAAGAAGGGAAGTAACCCTGGAAAAGGACTTGCTACCTCAAGTCCTAATGGAAGGGGATTCCCCTTCTAAACAGTAACAACTTCGACACTCTCCCCTCCTCCCATCCCATCAATCATCACCAGATCTTCATTAAAGGTAAGTGTCAATTATTCTATTGTTATTATTCTATTGTTATTGTTGTTATTGTAATTATCCTATTGCATTAAACTTAATATTTCATGTGGTAAAAAAAAAAATTTTTCATACTTTTGGGTGTTTTGCATGGATTAATTTGATTTCCATTATTTCTTATGGGGAAAATTAATTCGACTTTCGATATTTTCGACATTCGATAGCTCTCAGGAATGGATTAGTATCAAATGTCGAGGGTCCACTGTATAGGTGAGGAAGGCATACACATTTCTGAAGTTTATTTCTAAAACAATAGTGTATGGTGAGATCTTCCCTCCTCTCTGATGGCCCCACCTTTAACACAGACTGTCTCTTTGATTTTTTGACAGCAACAGATTTATTACACAAACTTTGATTATACTTCCTTGAGCACTTCACACCACCCTTACTCTCTCCCTCTGTTATACTCTCCACCCTTGCTAGTCTCTGATCAAGCATATTAAAACTTTAGCATGCCCTACCCTGCAGGACTGTATGACCCTTCTACATTTATCACTTGGTTATGATTTTTTATTTTTTCAATGACCCAGCCTTATCCCACCAAGGCAGGGTGACCTATAAAGAAAAACAAAAGTTTCTTTTTAAATTTAGTAATGTATACATGAGAAGGGGTTACTAGCCCCTTGCTCCCAACATTTTAGTTGCCTCCTAAGATCCATATGGCTTATGAAGGAAAAATTCTGTTCCACTTCACCGAAGAGAAGATGAAATAAACAAGAGCAAGAACTAGTAAGAAAATAAAAGAAAATCCAGAGGGGTGTGTATATATATGCTTGTACATGCATATGTAGTGTGACCTAAATGTAAGTAGAAGTAGCAAGACATACCTGAAATCTTGCAAGTTTAAACACTTTTTTACTGATGATTTGAGTTTTAGAATATTTTCATCTTAGTTTGTGTTTCCTTTTCAAGTTTTCACATTCATTATCATTTTGTTTTATAGTTATTTTTCTCTATTTCAGTTACATGTGAGGACACAGAGAAACAGCTACCCTAGCCTTCAGGAAGGCTGACACAAGGTCAAGGCAGATTTGCCGCCACTTTAAGAATACGAACACAGTATTCCAATTCAGAGCACTTTTATAAGTATTTACTATGGACCACACTGTCCACCAAACAAACCTTTATGTGCACCAAAAAAAACGTGGAAATATTCAATAATGATACTTCCAAGATGATCTTCATTGGTATCACTCACAATTAGTAACAGATGACTAGTGGACTATAACTGTTCATACGTTTTCACAATGTATGAAAGAGAGGATGGTACTGTACCTAACAACCAACAGAGAGCAGGTGTAGTTCCTTTTTATAAGAGGAAAGAATTTAGCATGGTACTGTTTTGCAAGTGTGTGAAATATAGGGAAAATAAGTATTGAGTATTCTGGTAAAGTACATGTATATGAAAGAATTATTACTGAATGACTGCTAGGTAAAACCAATGGATGTTAACAGGTAATGTATTAGTGCCATGAGTGTGAAGCTTGGTCTTTGCTGTAGTGAGGATGATGAAGGCAATAGCAATGGTGTTTAAGATTAAAGTGCTGTGACTACTGCATCACTAATGTGTAATTCTTGCCTAATGAAAAACGTAAGTTTAGTGTGTCTTTACCAGTTATTGCCAGGAAGTTGTGTTCACATCACCTAAAATGTAATTATTTTCTATAAGGGTTTGTTATTGTGATGTCTTCATTCCTCAACTGTTAAGTGTATTTCTGTTACATAATGTTCATGGACCTGAACCACATGTAATTCAAAGAGTAGAAGGGTTTATTAAGATAATTTGAAATGAAAGTGAAGTAAAAATCTGAGGAGTTTTAACATAAAGGCACTTGAGCACTTAGCAGGCATGTGGGAACACGTTAAATCAGAGAGGAGCTCGTTTGCTGTTTGATGCGAGAACAATACAGTGGACCCCCGGTTAACGATATTTTTTCACTCCAGAAGTATGTTCAGGTGCCAGTACTGACTGAATTTGTTCCCATAAGGAATATTGTGAAGTAGATTAGTCCATTTCAGACCCCCAAACATACACGTACAAACGCACTTACATAAATACACTTACATAATTGGTCGCATTCGGAGGTGATCGTTATGCGGGGGTCCACTGTACTATATATGTAAGAATTCACTGAAAAGCAGTTAGCTTGGCTTGAATCGTGGAAGCAGGAATTTCAGAGCCTGAGTTATTAAAAGTCAGGTGGGGATGTGGTTTGGTCATTCATCTGAACTGCGATATGTGTACTCTTAGAAATCTAGCTAGTGAATAAGTGATGCAGATATGCTAGCCTCATTTGTGTCGTGTCACCCTGTACTAGTGGAAATTAGCCATGTGTGGACTAGAGTTCTACATACAATATCAAAATCACACTGCACACAGATAATTTAAATGTCAGGATTTTTACTAGCTCTATCATACTTTTCAAGTTTGCTGTATTAAAAAAATGTTATCTTAAAACTTACTTGTTTGGCAGCCATCTCCTCATCTCTGCCATCACCGACAACAACATACACAGGTTTCCTTCCAAACCGTGAAGCAATTCTTTCAAAGCAGCTTTCTTTACCTGCCAAAACAAAAAAAAAAAAAAATGATAAATATATATCCAGGTAGAGTAATCATGAGATATTGGTTTTACTCCTGATACAGCAGGCATGTGTGACAAATGGAGTCAAATGGTTTTTTGGGACTTGACGAGCTGTTGGAGTGTAAACAGGATAATATTTTGTGAAGGGATTCAGGAAACCAGTTAGCCGGACTTGAGTCCTGGAGGTGGGAGGTACAGTGCCTGCACTCTAAAGGAGAGGTTTGGGATATTTGCTGTTTAGAGGGACATCTTCCCTCAAGGGAGGTTCCTTGATGCTGGTGAGGGGCTCTTAATCTAGGGAATTCGATCTGTGCTCTGGTTCCCCGAATTAAGCCTGAATACCTTCCACATTTTAACCCCACCCCTACAGGTGCTGCATAATCCTACGAGTTTAGCACTCTCCCTTGATTATAATAATAATAGAGGGACATCTAAACTGTCATATCTGCATGCCTCTTGCAAGATAGTGATAATGTGAATAGTAGTGAAAGTGTTTCTTTTTTGGGTCACCCTACCTCGGTGGGAGATTGCCAATGAGTTAAATAAAAAAAATTTTTGCATTCAAATATAATGTCAGGGAACATTACTTTGATAAAATTTTATTTATTTATATGTATAATTCGTATCTCTTCAAATCAGAATTATAATTTAATTCCCTCTTACTATCTGTCAGCTGAGTGTCAGAAAAAATAAATCTGTCTCCCACCAAGGAAGTGTGCCCCAATGATAAAAAGACATTTACCATTCTCCATTCAATTGTTGTCTTGCAAAAAGTGCGCTGACATCACAGCTCAGATTACCCTCGGACTGCAACATTCCCATCCCTCTTTCAGAGTGCAAGCACTACCCTATCTCCAGGACTCAAGTTCTGTGTGTACAGTACATACCTTGTTCTTACTCCATTCAAAGCCACTCATTTCCTTTCACTACTGTTTAACACTCACAAGCCTGCTGGATGCTCAGGCTCCTAAAACTCTAAGCCTCGCTTACCCCCTTCCTCCAACTGTTCCATTTCTACTAGCCCAAACCACCTCAAAACCTCTGAACAGCCTTCTAAATTATTCCCTTGGTAACCCCACATTATCTCTTCATTTCCATTTTATGAATTCTCTGCATGATATTCATACCAACCATTGCTCTGAATCATGCTATCTTCACTACTACTAGCTTCCTCTTCACTACCCAGTTCAAAATTTATGCTTCATCTCCATATAAAAGTATTAGTACTGTTATACTCTGCCACCATGGATAAACTTTTTTCTTTCCACAGATGATTCAACACACCACCTACCTTTTTTTTTTCACACATTTTATAGACCCATCTGCTGACATGTCCACTCCAAAATATCTAAATATATCTACTTCCTCCCTCCAATCTGATAATTTATCATTGTCTAGCCCAAAAACCATTTGCTCGCTCCTATCTAATATGCTCACACATATCTGCCAGATGTCCAAGCCCTTTGTACACAAACCTCCTTTACCATACACCCTACAACCTTAGAGCAACCCCTACTCCACCTTCCCTTCATTAGAGATTTATACGCCCTCCAAGTTATCCTATTTTACTCCATCCTCTAAATGTCCAGGGTGTACACTGGATTGCCAGCTTCATGTACTGTACAGAGTCAGTTGATCAGGCTATCAACCTGGTATGAGGTCATGCCATACAAGTAAGTATCCTCAGAAGCACAGATACTATAGAATACAACAATGTACAGAAAACTGAATAATCATTCAGTTAAGCACTACAGTGTGTGTGTGTGTGTGTGTGTGTGTGTGTGTGTGGAGGGGAGGTATCTAAAAAGAACAAGAAATCTAAGGAACAAAAATATATAATATATAATATGTGTGTGTGTGTGTGTGTGGAGGGGAGGTATCTAAAAAGAACAAGAAATCTAAGGAACAAAAATATATAATACAACTTTCAATTCTAGTCATTCAACACACCAACTTTAGTTGCTGAGTAGATATTCTCGATGGGGAAGACAGAGCCCAGTCCATAGAGCAGAACCTTGGCAAGAGCTGGTACAAGCTGTGTGGTGGTCACCAGGACATTTACACAGTTAGGTCTAGATGCAATAAGCTGCAAGCACTTCATGGATTCTGTCAGCCAACTGTCAGTAAGAGTCTCAATATCTTGGCGGACTCTGTGCCATTTTTCTCTATTTTCTGGATCCAGCAGACCTTGGGATAGACACTTATTATTAATGCTCGAGTTATTTGTTAATTTCTAAATGGAACTGAGAATTGGACTACACCTGCACTTATGCATATTGTATGTGTGTGTGCGTATGTGCAAAGTAATTCTTTCAAAATCAAATTATCTTATGAATAATGATCAATATAAGAAAGAGAAAAAATGGGACAAACTGTTTAGATAATGTGAATGAAAACTGACAATAGATTGTGCTGCAAAGAATCATTCCCTAACTAGAGTATAAAAACTAACTGCAGTATAAAATAAAACTTTAATTTCTAAACTGTCTTGAATAATAATATTTTGCCATCAGGCTGGGATAAAGTTCAAATAATAAACTGATGCATGGTTTAAGATCACATGAGTAATAAACTAGTAAATGTTAAATTCATCATTGCTGATATCTACTCTATATTATGCTAATACTGTAGATATGAAAAAAAAAGTTTAAGTGGTTCATTTCTTAAGTGAGAAGTATACTGTATATAAAACTATGTAAAGTGAATCTTCACTGACAATAAACTGTTTGTTTACAGGATTAAAAAAATATTGCTTCAGAGGCCCCTAAATGTAAGATAGCCCGACAACTGTCATGCATTATTTATAGGCCATATACTGAATACAGTGTTCATATATTTTATTATCTGGAATTGTGACCATATAGTTTTGGTCAGTTTTCTTCATCCTTTTTTTTTAACTAGTCAAATAGTGCATATATTATATATTATTATTATTATATAATTATATATTATTATTATATATTATATATTATTATTATTATATATTATATTATATTATTGTTTTTTAAAAGAATCAATACTGTACATCAGTTATGGTGACTGGACTAATGTCTTCCATAAAGGGATTTTATTAACAAGAAAACTAATTTGGTTAGTGCAGAGCTATTTTCCCTCCCTCCTATTTCTCACCCACTGTTTGAACTCTAAGGCTTTAGTGCTTCCCCATTATTATTACAATTCAGCAGCATTTAAATCACTTACAGATTTAACAGACCAACTCCCCTATATTGTGCTTTAACAACCTTGTCATCCATTTTGCAACTTTAAAACAAGAACATTCATCAACTTCTCAAAAAATGTATACTGTATACATGTATTGTAATTTCAATTTCTCTTTTAGTTTCTACTTACTACCAGAATTATTCCTGCAGCTGTTGAATAACTCCTTAATCTTGCGGTACCTAAACGCAAGCTTCCTCATCCAGTCCACTCCCCCTCTCACTCCAGTACCCAAACACAGAGAAGCATTACTGTTGGCTGCACTAAACCCATCCGTGGCGAAGTTGTAGTTACTGAAAATATATTTAGAGTAGAAATGACAAAATATGAACCAGGAAATAAGTCAATTTAGGAGACTGAAATGGTAAAGGTTAATTTTAAATTTTACCACTTAAGTGGCTAGTTTATTTTGCACCCCATATCCATCCTGTGGATGGTGGCACATGATAATACCGATACACAAAATGCTTAGAAACTAGGCCCTGAAAGGGTTTACAGGAATACCTGGAGTTTACCTGGAGAGGGTTTTGGAGGTCAATGCCCATAGAGCCCAGTCTGAGACCAGGCTTCATAGTGGATCAGGGTTTGATCAACAAGGCTGTACTGCGGGCTACATGTAAACTAACATACGAATCGCAGCCCAGCTGACCAGGTACTGACTTTAGGTGTCTGTCTAGCATCTTCTTGAAGACAGACAGGGGTCTATTGGTAATCCCCCTTATGTATGATGCGAGGCAGCTGAATAGTCTTGCACCCTTGACACTTAGTGTACTTGTGGTGCCTCCTGCCGAGTCTTTTGCTTTCATAGGGAGTGATTTTTGTGTGTAGGTTTGGTACTAATCCCTCAGGGATTTTCCAAGTGTATATTATCATGTATCTTTCTCAACTGCATTCCAGGGAATACAGATGAAAGGACTTCAACCATTCCCAGTAATTTAGGCACTTTATTGTACTTATATGTGCCATGAAAGTTCTCTGTACATTCTCCATGTCAACAATTTCACCTGCCTTGAAGGGGGCAGTTGGTGAACAGCAATATTCCAGCCTAGAGAGAACAAGTGATTTGAAGAGAATCATCATGGGCTTGGCATCCCTAGTTTTGAAGGTTCTCAGTATCCATCTTATCATTTTTCTAGCAGATGTAGATACATTGTTGTGGTCTTTGAAAGTGAGATACTCTGACATTATCATTCCCAGGTTCTTCACATTAGTTTTTCACTCTATTGTGTGGTTAGAATGTTTTATACCCTGATAAAGTTTTAATTTCCTCAAGTTTTCCGTATCCGAGTAGTTGAAATTTCTCTTCATTGAACTTCATATTGTTTTCTGTAGCCCATTGAAAGATTTGGGTGATGTCCACTCGAGTCTTGCAGTATCTTCGATGGAGGACACTGTCATGGTAATTCGGGTGTCATCCACAAAGGAAGACACGGAGCTATGCTTATATCTATGTCTATCTCAGATATAAGGATGAGGAACAGGATGGGAGAGAGTATTGTGCCTTGTGGAACAGAGTTTTCACTATAGCTGCCTCAGACTTTATTCTGTTTACTATTATTACTTTTTGTGTTCTATCTGACAGCAAGTTATAGATCCATCTACCAACTGGATATACTGTACATTTACAATTCATATTTCATCTCTTGCATCAAATTTAGAATATTTTCTTAAAATTTCTAAATTCTTATTTTCATATACCATTTATCCCTATACAACTTAAAGTATACTGCTGTAGGCTATATTTTCTGCGAGTGATCTAAATATTTTGCACATGAAACTGAGAATGCCACATTTTTTAACCATGCATGTCGTAAGAGGCAACTAAAATGCCGGGAGCAAAGGGCTAGTAACCCCTTCTCCTGTATACATTACTGAAGTTAAAAAGAGAAACTTTTGTTTTTCTCTTTGGGTCACCCTGCCTTGGTAGGATATGGCTGGTTTGTTGAAAGAAAAAGAAACATAAATATATATAATATACACACAGTCCTAGGTAGTAGGTTGGTAGACAGCAAACACCCAAGGAGGTACTACTGTCCTGCGAAGTGACTGTGAAACTCATCTGGGTTTTCTTGTTTTCTTAATAGTTCTTGTTCTTCTTTAGTTCCTCATCTCCATGGGGAAGTGGAAAAGAATTCTTCCTCCAAAAGCCATGCATGTTGTAAGAGGAGACTAAAATCCCACGAGCAAGGGGCTAGTAACCCCTTTCCTATATAAATTACTAAATTTTTAAAGGAAAACTTTTGTTTTTCTTTTTAGGTCGCCCTGCCTCGGTGGGACATGGCTGGTTTCTTGAAAAAAAATGGCGTGTTAGATAGGAATGGACACAAATGGTTTTTGAGACTTGAAAAGTGGTGTCCTCCATGGATGCCACACAAACAAATTCTAGTATTGTCTGCAAAGATGACATGGTATAATGATTTAATGCCCCTGTGTCAGATATGAGAATAAGAAAAATTGTGGGGACAAGTAGTATTGTGCCTTAGGAATAAAGCTTTTCACTGTGGCTGCCTCTCACTTAGCAGTGCTTACTATTACTTTTTGCATTCTATTTGTTATAAAGCTAAAAACCCATCTGCCCACTTTCTTCTGTTATTATTTCTGCATGCATTTTGTGTGCTGTTACAGCATGATTATACTTGGCAAAGGCTTTGGCAAGGTTAGTATATACTACATCTGCAATCTGTTTTCCTTCCAGTTCACCCAAGTCTATGTTGTTTTCCTTCCAGTGCACCTAAGAATCGTGTTATCAAAAACATCCACAGGGGGAGTAGAGTAGGGGAGTAGGCCTTTTGTGTTGCAATCAACACATCATCATGAGCTTGTAAAATTGCAGAAAAGAGGAGGGTGTCCAGCAAATAACGTTCCCAGAGGACCATCTTTACTGTATCGCTTGGTTTGCAATATATGCTTTAAATAAATAAATATATATATATATATATATATATATAATATATATATATATATATATATATATATATATATATATATATATATATATATATATATATATATATTTTATTTTTTTTATTATCACACTGGCCGATTCCCACCAAGGCAGGGTGGCCCGAAAAAGAAAAACTTTCACCATCATTCACTCCATCACTGTCTTGCCAGAAGGGTGCTTTACACTACAGTTTTTAAACTGCAACATTAACACCCCTCCTTCAGAGTGCAGGCACTGTACTTCCCATCTCCAGGACTCAAGTCCGGCCTGCCGGTTTCCCTGAACCCCTTCATAAATGTTACTTTGCTCACACTCCAACAGCACGTCAAGTATAAAAACCATTTGTCTCCATTCACTCCTATCAAACTCGTCATGCATGCCTGCTGGAAGTCCAAGCCCCTCACACACAAAACCTCCTTTACCCCCTCCTCCAACCTTTCCTAGGCCGACCCCTACCCCGCCTTCCTTCCATACAGACTGATACACTCTTGAAGTCATTCTGTTTCGCTCCATTCTCTCCACATGTCCGAACCACCTCAACAACCCTTCCTCAGCCCTCTGGACAACAGTTTTGGTAATCCTGCACCTCCTCCTAACTTCCAAACTACGAATTCTCTGCATTATATTCACACCACACATTGCTCTCAGACATGACATCTCCACTGCCTCCAGCCTTCTCCTCGCCGCAACATTCATCACCCATGCTTCACACCCATATAAGAGCGTTGGTAAAACTATACTCTCAAACATTCCCTCTTTGCCTCCAAGGACAAAGTTCTTTGTCTCCACAGACTCCTAAGTGCACCACTCACTCTTTTCCCCTCATCAATTCTATGATTCACCTCATCTTTCATAGACCCATCCGCTGACACGTCCACTCCCAAATATCTGAATACATTCACCTCCTCCATACTCTCTCCCTCCAATCTTTCATCACCTAATCTTTTTGTTATCCTCATAACCTTACTCTTTCCTGTATTCACTTTCAATTTTCTTCTTTTGCACACCCTACCAAATTCATCCACCAATCTCTGCAACTTCTCTTCAGAATCTCCCAAGAGCACAGTGTCATCAGCAAAGAGTAGCTGTGACAACTCCCACTTTGTGTGTGATTCTTTATCTTTTAACTCCACGCCTCTTGCCAAGACCCTCGCATTTACTTCTCTTACAACCCCATCTATAAATATATTAAACAACCACGGTGACATCACACATCCTTGTCTAAGGCCTACTTTTACTGGGAAATAATTTCCCTCTTTCCTACATACTCTAACTTGAGCCTCACTATCCTCGTAAAAACTCTTCACTGCTTTCAGTAACCTACCTCCTACACCATACACCTGCAACATCTGCCACATTGCCCCCCTATCCACCCTGTCATACGCCTTTTCCAAATCCATAAATGCCACAAAGACCTCTTTAGCCTGGGGTTTCAAATAGAGTTAGAGAAGAAGGAGTAGCAATAATGTTGAAGGATAAGCTATGGCAGGAAAAGAGGAACTATAAATGTATTAATTCAAGGATTATGTGGAGTAAAATAAAGATTGGATGTGAAAAGTGGGTTATAATAAGCATGTATGCACCTGGAGAAGAGAGAAGTGTAGAGGAGAGAGAGAGATTTTGGGAAATGTTGAGTGAATGCGTGGGGAGTTTTGAATCAAGTGTGAGTAATGGTGGTTGGGGATTTCAATGCTAAAGTGGGTAAAAATGTTATGGAGGGAGTAGTAGGTAAATTTGGGGTGCCAGGGGTAAATGTAAATGGGGAGCCTTTAATTGAGCTATGTGTAGAAAGAAATTTGGTAATAAGTAATACATATTTTATGAAAAAGAGGATAAATAAATATACAAGGTATGATGTAGCACGTAATGAAAGTAGTTTATTAGATTATGTATTGGTGGATAAAAGGTTGATGGGTAGGCTCCAGGATGTACATGTTTATAGAGGGGCAACTGATATATCGGATCATTATTTAGTTGTAGCTACAGTTAGAGTAAGAGGTAGATGGGAAAAGAGGAAGGTGGCAACAACAAGTAAGAGGGAGGTGAAAGTGTATAAACTAAGGGAGGAGGAAGTTCGGGTGAGATATAAGCGACTATTGGCAGAAAGGTGGGCTAGTGCAAAGATGAGTAGTGGGGGGGGTTCAAGAGGGTTGGAATAGTTTTAAAAATACAGTATTAGAATGTGGGGCAGAAGTTTGTGGTTATAGGAGGGTGGGGGCAGGAGGAAAGAGGAGTGATTGGTGGAATGATGAAGTAAAGGGTGTGATAAAAGAGAAAAAGGTAGCTTATGAGAGGTTTTTACAAAGCAGAAGTGTTATAAGAAGAGCAGAGTATATGGAGAGTAAAAGAAAGGTAAAGAGAGTGGTGAGAGAGTGCAAAAGGAGAGCAGATGATAGAGTGGGAGAGGCACTGTCAAGAAATTTTAATGAAAATAAGAAAAAATTTTGGAGTGAGTTAAACAAGTTAAGAAAGCCTAGGGAAAGTATGGATTTGTCAGTTAAAAACATTTGTCAGTTAAAAACTTTTAAATGTTAAGGAAGAAACAGAGGCAGTAATTTCATGCACTGGTCAGGGAGGTATACCATCTTTTAGGAGTGAAGAAGAGCAGAATGTAAGTGTGGGGGAGGTACGTGAGGCATTACGTAAAATGAAAGGGGGTAAAGCAGCTGGAACTAATGGGATCATGACAGAAATGTTAAAAGCAGGGAGGGATATAGTGTTGGAGTGGTTGGTACTTTTGTTTAATAAATATATGAAAGAGGGGAAGATACCTAGGGATTGGCAGAGAGCATGTCTAGTCCCTTTATATAAAGGAAAATTGGACAAAAGAAACTGTAAAAATTATAGAGGAATAAGTTTACTGAGTATACCAGGAAAAGTGTACGGTAGGGTTATAATTGAAAGAATTAGAGGTAAGACAGAATGTAGGATTGCGGATGAGCAAGGAGGTTTCAAAGTGGGTAGGGGATGTGTAGATCAAGTGTTTACATTGAAGCATATATGTGAACAGTATTTAGATAAAGGTAGGGAAGTTTTTATTGCATTTATGGATTTAGAAAAGGCATATGATAGAGTGGATAGAGGAGCAATGTGGCAGATGTTGCAAGTATATGGAATAGGTGGTAAGTTATAAAATGCTGTAAAGAGTTTTTATGAGGATAGTGAGGCTCAGGTAAAAGTAGGTGTTAGACAGGGATGTGTAATGTCACCATGGTTGTTTAATATATTTATAGATGGGGTTGTAAAGGAAGTAAATGCTAGGGTGTTTGGGAGAGGGGTGGGATTAAATTATGGGGAATCAAATTCAAAATGGGAATTGACACAGTTACTTTTTGCTGATGATACTGTGCTTATGGGAGATTCTAAAGAAAAATTGCAAAGGTTAGTGGATGAGTTTGGGAATGTGTGTAAAGGTAGAAAGTTGAAAGTGAACATAGAAAAGAGTAAGGTGATGAGGGTGTCAAATGATTTAGATAAAGAAAAATTGGATATCAAATTGGGGAGGAGGAGTATGGAAGAAGTGAATGTTTTCAAATACTTGGGAGTTGACGTGTCGGCGGATGGATTTATGAAGGATGAGGTTAATCATAGAATTGATGAGGGAAAAAAGGTGAGTGGTGCGTTGAGGTATATGTGGAGTCAAAAAACGTTATCTATGGAGGCAAAGAAGGGAATGTATGAAAGTATAGTAGTACCAACACTCTTATATGGGTGTGAAGCTTGGGTGGTAAATGCAGCAGCGAGGAGACGGTTGGAGGCAGTGGAGATGTCCTGTTTAAGGGCAATGTGTGGTGTAAATATTATGCAGAAAATTCGGAGTGTGGAAATTAGGAGAAGGTGTGGAGTTAATAAAAGTATTAGTCAGAGGGCAGAAGAGGGGTTGTTGAGGTGGTTTGGTCATTTAGAGAGAATGGATCAAAGTAGAATGACATGGAAAGCATATAAATCTATAGGGGAAGGAAGGCGGGGTAGGGGTCGTCCTCGAAAGGGTTGGAGAGAGGGGGTAAAGGAGGTTTTGTGGGTAAGGGGCTTGGACTTCCAGCAAGCGTGCGTGAGCGTGTTAGATAGGAGTGAATGGAGACGAATGGTACTTGGGACCTGACGATCTGTTGGAGTGTGAGCAGGGTAATATTTAGTGAAGGGATTCAGGGAAACCGGTTATTTTCATATAGTCGGACTTGAGTCCTGGAAATGGGAAGTACAATGCCTGCACTTTAAAGGAGGGGTTTGGGATATTGGCAGTTTGGAGGGATATGTTGTGTATCTTTATATGTGTATGCTTCTAGACTGTTGTATTCTGAGCACCTCTGCAAAAACAGTGATAATGTGCGAGTGTGGTGAAAGTGTTGAATGATGAAAGTATTTTCTTTTTGGGGATTTTCTTTCTTTTTTGGGTCACCCTGCCTCGGTGGGAGACGGCCGACTTGTTGAAAAAAAAAAAAAAAAATATATATATATATATATATATATTTATATATATATATATATATATATATATATATATATAATGAGGGGGAGCGCTAAACCCGTAGAATTATACAGCGCATGGAAAGGGGGAGGTATTCAGGCTCAATTCAAGGAACCGGAGCACAGATCTAATTCCAGAGATAAAAAAAAAAAAAACCTCACCAGCATCAAGGAACCTCCCTTGAGGGGAAACCAGTGAATAACCAAACGGTTCTCGTTTCCTTATTTCCCACTTCTACCACTACCACTACTACTACCTCTTCTTCTTCTACTACCTCTACTGATGAAATCAGACACATGTGCGGCGTCTGGTTGTCTTTGTTGTGGACGTTTCGCCATCCAGTGGCTGGCTGGATGGCGAAACGTCTACGGTGGGGATGCCCGGGTGTTGTGCATGTGTCATTTCATCCTGTCGGTATTATATACAATTCTTGCACTACCACTACCACTACTTCTACCACTACTACTACCTCCTCCTCTTCCTGCCTATATATAGCCGTTCTGCTCCTCCTCTGTTAGTGTGACTTTGTCAATGGTCCAAGTCGGACCGAAACGTCGTCGTAAGCTTCTGTCTTTTATGTGCGGGTTATTTGTGTATCGTTCCAGTCACGGTATTGTGCCTCTTTGTTATTTATGTAAATCACAGTTCCACATTTCACTGTCGTAAGCTTCATCCATTATCTGTTGAATTCATTTATATTCTACAACTGATATATAACTAGTCCCTAAAACTCTAATTTATGTTGAGGCATGGAATAAAAAAAACAATCTTCATTAAAGATGTATAAATTCTCAGTATTATCAACTTCCTGAGCAAGTTTTCTCACCTTAAATCTTGTCCGTTGTCATCAGACGATACATCATCTATATGAACTTGGTCGCACTCCTATAAACGAAAAAGTTGTGTGTTAAATACGACAAAGTACTTATATGAATAAATACTAAAGCTATACTTTGAAAGGTTATAGCGTATGAAATTCAATTTTGATTAAAGTGTCATATAATAAACACGAAAGCTTTCTAACTGTTGAAATTAGCATCACTATTTTACTGATCTACATAGTTCAGCTTTTTTTTTTTTTACAGAATATTTATACCGATTACATCACCATGAAACTAAATATTTTAATAATAAATTGGTTGCATAGCAGTGATTATGAAACAGCTTATAAACACGTAAACAAAATCAAGAGCTTACTTCTAAATCGTTGAAGAAGAAATGTGTATCTGCTAGGTCAAAGATCAACTTCTCCATGTGGTAGCCCAGCTGGACGGCATTAGCTGTGTCCTGAAACAAGAGCAACATGAAGTGAGTTTGCTTTTACAACTGATATACTTGCTCTGGGAGCTTAAGAAAAACATGCCATGAATGTTTTTCTCCAGTATTATTCGATTCATCCTTAAGGTTATATCGCTACAATGAAAGAAATAAAGTTAATAAAACTTAAACATTTAAAATTATCATGATATATTTCGTGCTCTGGTGTCTGAGAGGGAAAAAAACACTAATTTATTGAATTTGAAACATCTGAAGCAACATGCGAGGACATAAGTTGTACTCTGACGACCATATTATTTAAAGAAATCTTGCAATTTCCTGCCAAGGCTTGAACTTTAAGACAATGAAACAATAAATAGGGTGAGGAGAGCGATAATATATACGGTGTTTTTTGTCACGACTTTCCTTGTTACCTGGATGAACGGTCATACTGGTACATACTATTTATAAGAAAAAATCGCGTGTACAGATTTAATGATGATCTAAGAATTTAAAGTTTCTCCCGGTAAATACGAAGCTGGTCTTCAACTAAGTGAAGAAAAAGTGGTAAATACAAATCTGGTTTTTCAACCAAATGAAGGGCAGGTAATCAAGTTATAATTGATTAGTGGTGAAAATGCATATGAAACAGCTGAAGCTGTTTAATCAGATGTCGCACTAGTGTAACATCCAGACATTGTTACCTACGTAGTATATTTAACCAGACCAAACACATCTGAATATTTAGAAATTATAAAAATTTAGAAGCGCACAACCAGTTGGGGATAAGTCAGACAAAAAAAAAAAAGGCTAGAATCATCGATGATAAATTTCTGGTCATGACAAAGTTAAGTTTTTTTTGGCTTTAACAGCAAATATTAATACTTAAAAATAAAATTAAATTTAACAGTTATAAAATTTTTAACATGTATAGGTATATTTAGGCAACTTACACATACGTAAAAAAATTTCATAAGTAAAATAAATAATGCTTCAGAATCTTCATGGAAAATTAAAAATAATGGAGGTTTAACATACTTATTTGCACAACTAGATAATATGGTTCAAATGTTAATATACCCAGCAACAGCCTGGTTGATCAGGCAAGCACTAGACGAGCCTGGCCCATGGTCGAACTCCGATAGTAAGACTCTCGAAACTCCTCAAAGGTATATCAAAGGTAAAGGTAACCAGTATGTTAACATTTTCATTTGTATAACTGTAGGTACCTCACTCTGAGATTAAGTGATAAGCCACTACAACCGTGGATTGTTACAAAGATTGGTGTATATTAGTGACACACAGTACGTTACTTGTAGAGGTCACTAATGTTTAATACACTAAAATGTACTGGCCGTTCCTGATATAAAATGTGCTGAACACACTCGATGACAACCACACCTATCTTCTCATCGAAGATCACTTGGCTTTTTTAATTACTTTAGGCAATCTGTAAAACTTTAAATGTGACATATTATGATAACCAATAACGCTACAACAGCCCATATTGTTGTTGTGTTGAAAACAAATTATCTATTAAAATGTCAAAAATAATTTATAAAAACCTAGCACTTCTCAGAACATGTGTATTATCGGATGTAACCAACATGGCCGACCCGGAAATTGATGACGTCAAATAAAAACACACTACACTGTACTCCCATTCTGAGAACCCGTGTTGTTGCAAGAGCAACAACTCTACCCTAGGCAGTGTTTTCCTCAATAACATCTACGCCAAAATTATAATCGTTATCAACCTACTGCCACCATTGTTTTAACATGAGACTTATTGCTCTTGCCACCTCCCCCTCCCGTGGCACTCTGGCAGCGCGAGCTGTGGCAGGTGGCTCCAGTCAGTCTAGGGGGGAGGGCAAGCAGCCGGGCAACCACGGTGCCAACCACTAGTTTACCATTAGTCCACCAACCTCACCACCCACTTCACTATTATAATTTCTTACCATTTTAATTTCTTCGTGCAACTGTCGTTCAGAATTTTGAACAGTAGGTTTTGTTGATGCTTACAGTTACAAAAATTATATAATGAACAGTGGAATACGAATAAATGTACTTTATGAAAGGGAAGGGGATGAAGGAGAAGGATGAGGATGGGTTTCGGTAAAGAAGGGTTGAAGGAAGAGAGGATACTCTAAGCTAGGAGCTACACTCGGTCTTAACCGCATATCTGCACTAATCTCGGCTCCAAAACTCATCAGTGAACTGTATATCATTCTTGTTGGATAAACTATGTGCCATGACTCTTAGAGATGTTTTTTTTTTCCTAGGTTGATTGTTGACTATCTCGAACACCAAGTCTATTACACAACAAGCCGATTCACTTTTACACTGTACAAAGCCAAATGGCAATGAAATGACGCACTCATAGGATTTGTTTTGCTTCACAACAAAAGCGGAAGAACCATGATAATTAAGTGGGAGGAAAATAGGTTCACGTCACCGGCAGGCTGTGTGAGGTAAGGTACAAGTGACTGACAAACCCGGAGACTAGCCTAGCACATTCATCTTACCGGTGACTCAACACAAGCCTCGCCTCAAATCCCTCTCAGATTTTCTAATTAGCGTTAAGTGGTTGCCTGGCGCCGTCCTGCTGCCTAAGTTTAACCGATATTGTTACATGAACCAAACTCCAGCCCAGACATTCACTACTGTGCTGAGTATTAATGAATTATAACTGAGGTGGCAGTGTAAACTCCAAGAACTGGCGCCGTAACCCCAACCAGCATTCGCTATGGTCTCATCTTTAAATGCAACCTGAAATGAGAGACTAAGGAATGTTCTGTAGCGACACTTACCCCATTCATCAATCATTTTAACGTAATAGAAGGTCCCTCCTTGATACTGGCTTCAAAAAATATTTGCGAGGCACACATGGACAAATGATGAATGTCTACTGTTACAAGATGGTGTAGTTATTGTTTCAGGTATCCCCAAAGCCAAGCCCCCACGGCCCAGTCCATGACCAGGCCTCACGGTGGACCAGGGCTTGATCAACCAAGCTATTACTGCCGGCCGCTAGCAATCCAACGTACGAACCACAGCTCGACTAGTCAAGTAATGACTTTAGATATCTGCCCCTCTTGAAGACAGCCAGGACAGGTCTTATTAGTAATCCCCCTTACGTATGCTGGAAGGCAGTTGAACAGTCTTAGGCCCCTTGCACTCACTGTGTTATTTCTCTGTGTACTTTTCTGTCATTACTGATGGATATAAAGTTCCAATTAAGTATAACAATCGAAGTTCATTCGATACAATTTACTTTTTTGAAGAAATTATGCTGACAGTGTTCCTTGGTGATAATCGGAGTGACTGGTCAATCTATTACTATCAGTAACTATCTTGATCGAAGGAATTGGAGCTATCATTCTCTTTTTTGGATCAAACTTGATGCCCCCACCCCTCTCTCCCTCCTCGGACGCTGTACTTCAGTGATTTCGGGCTTCCCAGTGAATATAATAACCTTATTATGACTTCTGTACATTTTCCTTACCTTTTACTTGCTAGTCTATCTATTCTCTTCAAGAGTTTCCCCTTGTCTCATTATGATTACCCCCTTCACTTCTCCCCTCCTTCCTGTCCCCCCTCCTCAGTTAAACTAACAAACACACTCATAAAATAAACTAGCGCAGGGCCTGTGACATGTTCAATATGTGTCGCCGGTGTTTAGTAAGAGTGAGAGAGATTCTTCCCGTTAGTGGCGGTGCCTTCAATGTTCATTTGCCAGGCCATCGCCTGGCACATCTCTGAGACTCATAAGCCGTATTCGTTAGTGTTACCAGTCCACCACGAGAGAGAAGAAATACACCCACGCATTTTTTGCTCTACGTGATTTTGAAAATTATCGTCTTGGAGGCACGATCTCAGACCAGGCCTCCTTGTTGACGGCGTGTTCGATTAATCTATTAGTGCTTGCTGTAAGCAGTGACGTAGGTACCACAGTGAGGAGGGATTGCGAGTACACAGAGAGGTTTAACTTGAGGCTATGTCCTGTTTGTGAGCGGCCAGCCGGGGTGTGGAAGTGTGTAAACAAACTAGCCTCACTACGTGTGTTTGCCTCTCTAAATTAGTATGGATCTTTTGTTATTAATATTTTTGGCACGGTGTAGAAGTGAAGCTTTTATTAGTTTTCCGCACTGGTACTACAGCACTCTGCTTACATTTCAACCATCTACCTAGAAGAGATCAAACCACGAAGAGATCTAACACTAATGCAGAAGCGACGGAAATACACCATCACACTGATGGTAAAACGTTTGCAAGATATGACTAAAAAGATCTTAATCGCGATAAAATCTTCCATTTAAATTTTTTGTTTGATATAAGAAAGGGCGCGTTCCGCTGCTGAAAAGGGCCACACAAATAAACGGGGCAGTTGTGTGCGGCTGTCAGGGGTAGCGGGAGGGAGGGAAGGAGACGGGAAAGAGATTTAACACTGAACAATCTTGTAAATTTCATGAATACAGCGATAAGTGGTATACTTACATGATATGTCTAAGTATCTCAATAGAAAATAAAAAAAAATTAGGAAATATAATAAATTTACTTTTAACAGCTATAGGAATTTGTAAATATTATATACCACTTTGCTATGCCAATTGTGTATCCATATATGCTCTTACGCTATTGTCTTTATGTTGAAGGGCTCTTAGCTCAAGGAATTAGAGCTACCCTTCCTTGGAGCACACCTGATTACCTCTCATTTCCCAGACGATATACGAGTCCAATGAATATAATTGGCGCTATCATGTTTAGTATAGATGGGGTGCACAGTAAACTAGCCGCTTCGGTGAGGGGAGGGGGAATCTAAATCTAAATTTCGGTTAGGTGCACAGTAAACTAGCCGCTTCGGTGAGGGGAGAGGGGAATCTAAATCTAAATTTCGGTTATCAGTTGGAAGACCTGCAAAGCACAAGATGGAAACAGGACGTTGAAACGCCTTGACGTAAAAAAAATCACTGATCATACAACAGCGTAAAAATAATGTGAGGGACCTGGGAGTGGTAATGTCTGAGGAT